GAGTCATAATCCACTGGACGACAATGGATATAGGCAAGAGTGAGGGAAACCTTCAATGAGATGGACATAAAATGAGATGGTTGCATACAATAGCCACAACAATGGACTCATAGATACCCAGGATCATCAAGATGGCACAGGACTGGACAGCCTTTCCTTCTGTTATACATAAGGTCACCACAAGTCAGAGCCAACTCCATGGCAACTAACAACACCAATGAGTAGACGAGATAAACTTTTGATGTTTAAACTTTTGAGATTAGGGAGTTTGTTTGTTATTGTAGTATAACCTGGCCTAGGCTGACAGATACAGTGCTCAGTGAATGCTTCAGGGAGAGTGAGAGGAAGGGAGGGAGTCGGGGAAGAGAAGGAAGGAGGGAAAGAGCAAAGAAAGAAAGAAAGAAGAAAAGAAGGAAGGAAGAAAATGAAGGATCGAGGGAGGGAGGCAGAAGCAAACGACTAGATTAGTCTTCAACTCTCTTTGGGGCTCGGTTTCCAATTTATACAGCTGGGATTTAAAGGTCAATCTTTACAGAGTTCCCTTCCACCTCCAGCACCCTGAGAACCCCAGAGTACTCAGACATAAAATCCATGCCTCATTTTTGCATGGAAGGAAATTCTGTTTTCCCAAATCTAATGCATAGCATAGCAATATTTATAGAGAAAGGTAACAGAGAAATGAGGCAGGAAACAAAGCAACTGTGACTTTTTTTTTTTTTTTTGTAATATATCCAAACCATAAAGATTTCATTAAATTCCCTAACACATTGCTAATGAAAAATAAGACCCTTTCCTATTTACCTACTTTCTGAACATTAGAATCAACTTGGCTTTTCAAGCTTTGCACCCCATTTACATTAATTAGAAAGTTTTATATTAAGGAAAGCTTTTAATAGGCTATTATTGCAGATGATTTTACTGGCGAGCTGCATTGTTCTGTTTAATAGCATATAAAATGGCATCTATACAGAAGTCTTTGATAAAACTGAGGTTTTGATGGACTCTGGGGCTAAGCTGACCTTTGCTGGGTGGCTGGGGTTCAGGGAGATTTTCCTCTTGGGGGAAATGGCTCTTCTATTTCCCTGGACTGGAGCCGGTTCTAAAGCATCCAAATGTTTCTGACCCCAGGAGAAGCCCACACTACCTCCTGCCTGGGTACGTTGACAGACTGCTTCCGGCTCCCTGAACACCACTTGGCAAAATCTCTCTGGGTCCTTGTGGGCAAGATGGAGAATTCTTGGAATATAAGAGATGAATTTCAGAAGGACAGATTACCTGTGCCAGGTGGAAAGTGTCTTGCAGGTGGGTGCCAGGTCTGTCTAGAAAAGAAGGGAGACAAGATTTGCATATGTCTAGGGGCAAAGGTGAGAGGACAGAGTGTTTGGATAGTCACAAAGTGATGTTTCTGGAGCTTAGGAAGTGGTTGCAAAGGAAGTGAAAAGCAGAACAAAAGAATGTCCACATAATAGCAATCAATTATACAAAAAGAGAGCAAGGTGGGGGTGAGGGAGCAATTGGGGTATCATGGTAGGTATAAGAGGAGCCAGAGGATGCTGCCATGGCCCAGATGAAGTCTCACAGGACAGTGACTGCTACTCCAGTTGTCTTTATTCCCATTCATGCCATGCATAAATGGCCCTACCAATAGGTCCCCACCAGGGCTCCTGAAGGTTTTCCTTGATCCAGGTTTCCAGATGCATATTGCTGATGTTATCCCCACCTATTCCTTTAGTGTGAGAATGAACTGATTCAGGAAGCAGTGTAGTGTGTAGTTTAGAAGTTTGAGCACTAGAATCAGTTATGTCTGGTTTCAAACTCCACCTCTTCTGCTAAAGAATTGGTGTGTGTTCCACAGCCTACCCAAACTACAACAAAGTGATGTTGAAAATCTGAACAGACCCATAACAAGAGAAGAG